AAATACGTAACTTTATTGTGCTCACTTGTGGAACAATTGATGTTCAAATTTACTACTATGTTTTATTATCAATTGTGGATTTAATGGATTAGTTGGTAGTTATCATTCATATTTATTCTATCAACTGCTGGATGGATTGGATTGTATGCACCGGTATGGGACGGTGACATACCAGGGATGGTTTAGTTTCAAAAAATACTAAATCCAACCTGTATTGGAATAAGGGAATGGATTATAAATAAATCCTACTTATATTTATACCACGTCAAAGAAGCTGCACAAGCTGAATGACTAGCTGGATTACTTGTTAACTGGGTTGAGTCAAAGAAGCTGCACAAGCTGAATGGCCAACTGGATTTCTTATGGATGGATATGATAGGATTTTAAATATATTTTTGTGGCACCACGATATGAGTCTGAGTCTCAGAGTCGTTGGTTAGGGAGCGTATATGCATTGGGATGCATAGCTGGTTACGATGGTTGGAGGTGTACCCTGTTTAGGTTTAGGTACACATGCCCACTTCGTGTGCATTTTTGCATGTTGCCTCTATTCAGGTTGAGATCGGCCTGTAATCCAGTGAGAGTCTTTTAGTGTGATTATATATATACATACGGACTATTAGCTATTGTCGAGTTGGTTAAAATGTACATGCGTATCGAGTCTCTGCTTGGATTGTAGTAGGATAGAACTTGTTCGTGGGCCTGACCCACTTCTATATTTTTTTCAGGTACACGATAGTTCCAGACTTAGACGTGTTCGTGCTGAGCAGAGATTTTTATTCACTCTACTAACAATGTAGGACTTCTCTTCGTAGCTTACTTCTGGATGTCTTATCAGTTGTTTTTATTACGGTTTGGATTATTATTAGAGGTCCAATAGAGATAGATTCTCGAGTTGTACCTTTGGAGGTTTTGGAGTTAGATTATTTAATCTTTATTATTTGAGGATTTTATTTTAGTTTCTTTCAGCTTAAACTTTAGTTCTTAAATTCATTTTGTCATCTGTGTTCATTTTAAATACTTTAATTGTTTGATCGTAGACACGAGTCGATCAGGTCCAGGCCCAAACCCGAGGAAACATGGTTTTGTTCTTGGGCTTCACCCCAAAAGGCCTCATATCATACCATGTGGTAGAGTGGGTCGTTTTTCTGTGTAACATGTGTGATTATTCGTCTGATAGAATTAATGGGATTGTTGATCACCAAGACAGTGTTCACAAAAAGAAGCCCAAGTGCAAAAACTGTCAGCTACGATTCCCATCCAAACCAGATTTGCAGGTGCACCGTGATGAGTATCACTGACTGTGAGTGTTCTTTTTCTTTTTTGATTTTGATTTTCTGGTTCTTTATTCTATTGTTCTATTCTTTTGTTTTCACGTTTTTTAATTTCTTGTTATCTCGTTTAAATTTTTTTTGGTTTGTTTGAGATTTTTACTTGGTGTCAGCATTTGTCAAGGTTTGTTCCATGTTTGATGAAACAGGAAGAAATCTGCCCTTCAGTGAAAGGATGAAACAGCATGATAGGGCCTGCCTTGAAATCTGCACTTCACTGAAGACAATATATTGCTCTTGGATGAACGTTTATATGAAAGGATGATAGGAGTTATGCATTTACTTACTAGTAGTTTAGCACTAAGAAACTGTGTGTGTGTGTGTTTTTTTTTTTTTTTTAATTAAGGCTGGCAGTGGTGTGCATTTACTATCTATTGGTTTAACCCTAAGAAACGGTATTATTATGATGATTTATGTTTCAACATTCTAATGTTTGGTTTTGGTGAATGATTTGGGTAATAGAAAGAAATGTCAAGTCTCTCCTTGAATTCAACCCTTAACAGTCTCATTGCCCTTTTTCTACAATTATGACTGTTGCAGTCTCTCTCTCTCCGTCTCTCTATTTATTGAGATTGGGTTATTTTTTTTATTTTGACGATTTTCCCTTCGTTAGTATGAATTTACAATTGGCTCTCTCTCTCCCTCTCTCTCTCTCACACACACACACACAAAATGGGTATTTGCTTTGCTTTGTTAGTCTAAATTGTCTTTATTTTGATAAAACTGGGACTTTGATTTTGCAGTGAATTGAAGCCTAACTTGTGTTCTTATCCGAAAATCCTGAGCTGCTTTAATTGCTTACCTCATAACACCAAGTGCAATAGGCTAGAGTGCGCAGCCCCCTCCCACTGGTACACTACACCCCTTTTCTTTTGGGAAATCATCATCTTCTTGAATCTTAATGTTGTTATGTTCTCTCCCATATCATATCTCTAAAGATAACATCAGGATATCACCCCCAAGAGATCTCTCTCTCACACACAGTCACACACGCACATAAACACACACACACACACACACACACACACATATATATTATGATATACTGGTCTCATTTCTTTTTTGATTTACTTCTCATTTGTTCCTGCAAACCATAAAGAGCAAGCCCTAGCTACAACTTTAGTTCTTTGTACTCATGATCGCTTGTTTTGTGGATTTGAAACATAAAACTGATGAATTGAAGTTACTATATTACTATATTGGGTATTTAATTTTCGTGTAGGAAGCAAACTTTACCTAGAATAGATATAACCCAGTAATGTATGCTTATGCAATATAGACTGCAAGTTTAATTTTGTAGTACTGGGTTGCTTTCATGTACTGGGTTGATCTTCAGTGATAGGGTTATGTATAGTGTGAATCCCACAAAAATCTTTTAATTCACTTGGAATTTTTTTCTTTATACCAACACCTACTGGTGCTTGGGGAATGAGTGTAGCTTATAATGGTGCTGCTTACAGAAGATCTTGAGTAATGGTTTCGTGTTCACTATGATGTTGCTAGTACACAGAGATCTTCTAGTTTACTTCGTCAATTAAGGATACAGGTCCTTGTCTTCCGGTTTGTATGTCTGTCACAATTGTTTTGGACCTCATTGCTGTAGGTCTTTTGTTAAGATTGGTTTAGTCATGTGGTGCTTGCCTTGGAGCTTGTTCCTTGGCTATGCTCAAATAACTCCTACGTACATATTTTTATTTTATTAAAACTTACCCTTTTATCAAAAAAAAAAAAAAAAAAAAAAAAAAAAAAATACCTACTCTTTTAAATTTAAAGTTACTATCCCTCTCTGTCTTGTTTAAAACTTCAAGTTAACGGAATTTCTTATTGGACAACAACACATGTATCATATTTGTCACCCACGCACGCGCGCGTGCGTGCACACACACACACATATATATTTGTTGTAATTTAATAAATAGATGAGAAACTATGAATGTGTGCATCTAAATAGTACAAATCTCCGCACATTATTATCAATGAAGTCAGTTTATTTAATGAAAAAAAATAATATCAATTTATTTTGTTGTCTTATACCTCCTCTAGTCTATTTGTGGCCCTTCAGGGACATAGGTTTGGAAAGAAATAATATTATTGGAATAGTGTTCCATTGTAATTGTGTTTTTCCCAAGGTTTCTTAAACCTATTCTACAATAAAAATTTTAGTCTTTTATCTCATACAAGTTTAAACACCACTACTATGAATCAGTGAGATAAGAAAAAGAATTTTGACTCCCCACACCTCTCCAAAAAAATACTGGTATGACATTGATGGGTCTACATAATAAATATGAGTCCATAACAACTTGTCATTTGGTAAATCTCATTTTTAATTTTATACCATTATTTTGTAATTTACATATAAATTGATTATTTAATTTGTCCATAACATCCAATAATCAATGATGCAGAGATTTACTGAATAGTTATAACCATCCTATTATTATTTTGTTCAGAACATATCCTTCATGACATTGATGACACTGTAACCCAAATCAGAAGAACAGGACATTCTTTTCTTTTTACCTGCATTTGATGACAATGGCCAACAATTTGAAACAAGGGGCCAATTCATACACTTAAATTCCACCAGTGGCGTCTGGTTTTCCAAAAAAAGTAAGGGGTCATCACATGGTACAATGGGTACTTTTATCTAGTCAGGTCCTCACTCCTATTAAAGCTCTTTATGCAAATTTCTATTTCCAAAATTGTGAAATTTTTTCCTATGATGCTCTATCAACACTTTCCCAAGGCAAAGGAATGAAACCTCACCCACCAAATATTATGCTAATGTCTTCACCATGATGCTGCACACAGGCTACCCAAAGCAACAAAACATCAAACAACTAAAGTAGATGAGCAAAACTAGCATTCATTGTTATACCAGCCATACATTTGCCCAAACTTCACCATTTACATATTCTAGTTCATTGAGGTTATGCACTTCATGACCTTTGTACCTGATAGTTCTTTTTCCACCAAGTTCACTTGTTTATCCGTTGCAAAACTATGTGAAAATATCCTAATTCCAAATTCCACTCTTTCTTTTTTACTTTTTTTCTTTAACATGTCCCTATTGCGTGTCGTTGTCCACACCCATGCCACACAGCGTTTTTTTATCATACTAACTTTTCGTCTGGTGCCTGAGTTCAATTTTCTGTTTGCATAGTAGCGTTTTCCTCCTTTGAATGGGCCACATAAATAATGATTCCCATTCATTCAATAAAACAAAATTCTGTAATTTGAACTTCAAGCAACAGATCAAGATACTGTATGGTGCGATCCAAATCACTTTATACTATGATCAAGTATATTGGGTATTACATCAGTCAAACAGTTGTGTTTAGTGTTTACATCAGAAGGTGACATGTGTCAATGTTTACAAGTTGGGGAATATGACAAGATTGAACACTTATATCTTATAAGCATTTCACCTAGGTTTTTACAACCTCCAACTTTGGATTATATTTCAGCCACTGCCGAGGATTTAAATCAAGGAATTTGATGATGCATGAAATTTGAATTGCTAGTGTGAATAAAGTCCAACTCTAAGCATGCATATCAAATGCAAAAGTGAAACCTGTTCAGGTGAAATATATGGAAGCTCTAGACAGTCAAACAAAAAAGGTAAGAAAGTTCAGTAGTTTCTTCTTCAATATTCTACTCACAGTATCATGAAATGAAAAAATTAAACACCCTATAAGAATTCAACCAAAAGCACACAAAAAACAAGAAACCATAGAACACACCACAAACAACAAAAACAAAAACCATGAATTGTACAAAGGAAAAGGTTAAAGCACAAACTTTGCTTAAATTATATCGATCATATATGAAACCAGTTTTCTCCAACCAAGTTACTTGATACAACCTACAAAAGTACATAAGAATACTAGATCAGAACAGAGGATTCTTCTGAATATTAACTCTGTTAATGAAGATAACCAAACCAAAAATATAGTGAAATGGAGGAAAGAGAAATCTTAATTGTCTCAGTTACACATGTTGAACAATTCCATAATAGAAGTTACACAAACAAAAATACTGTTGTAGAAGTTCATCAACTTCAGAACTTATGGCCACTTAATGGATAGAAATAGATGAGTTTTTCTACAAGAATAGAACAGACACACGCACTGTGTTTCCAAGAGGGACTTGAACCTTGCCAGGGTAACTGGGTCTAGTAATGGAGATGCTAATATGACAAACAAGATAATGGAGGTCCCAGGAGAACAAATCAACGACTACATGAAAGCAGAAGTAGGAGAAAATCCAGGGGAAACTCAATGTCATTGTTCATCTCCTTTCCTTCTAGTAATGTTCCAAAAAGGTTCTTTCATGAGATAGGAGAACCTCTTCATATATAATTCAAGAGAGCGGAAGATGGGTGACGAATCTGACGATAGCTACAGCACGTGCCTGAACAATGTGGCTAATGGAAATAAGAATAACCCATTGGAGAATAATTTTAGGAGAGCCTATATATTTATAACCATGCATTCCACGAAGTGTGCCTCCATGATAGCAGTAATATGTCTGGCAGCTTTGAGCCTTTCCGAAGTAGAAATGGCAAGCTGATCGAAGAACTAAAATTGGAGGTTAGAGAGTGGATTAATGAAATGAAAAAAGAAGTTCGAATTTTTCCTATGCAATCAAACTAACTTGATGAAAAAAGCCAAGTGCTTATGAGAAATGGGCTTCTTGCCATTGAACCTTAGAATTTTAGAGCAAGGTACCCCTCGGGCGAGGGTTTTATCGTGATCCGAATCAAATAACAAATACTGAGATCTAACAAAGAGGATAGTGAGTTTGATCTTTTTTGTGAGTGGGAATCCTATTTAGAGTCTAACGTACCCAGTTGGAGGCTTGGCTGGAGATGGTAGCAAAAGCTATGGTGTAGCAATTAGCGAGAAGGGTTATCAGCGGGTGGGTTCAGTATGAAGATGACTAATGGTACTGACATATTGTCTATTGCAGACTAGTAATTCGCCACGATTGGTTGCGTTTTTGCCAGCAGTGGGCATTGTGACGTGAGTATGGAATAGTAAGACGCAATTATCCAGAGCTAATAGCATTTGCGAAATGAGAGCCTAATTTTACTATATTTTGTCAAGTTAATTGGTTTATTGGGAGCTAATACCGGTTGCTAAATCATAAGATATTGGTCAATGAATGGAAACAATAATACTTGCTTACAACTCAGGCTGCAGGATGGTCACCAATGGCGATTGACCTGAGTGTACATGATACTTCCCTGGCAGTATTGTTAAAACATGGATGTCTGGGTCTGGTGACGGAAATGAATTTATCATATGTAGGATAATGTAGATCCCAAAGAACACAATAGGGTGAAAGCTGAGACTGCTTTGGGGGAGAGAATAAAAGTAATGGATAAAATTACAATATTAACACTTTACTTTTATACTTTTGCACTCTCTTGATTTTTAAATAACTCAAAAGGAGTACAAAAGTTTTCTAAGAGATAAATATGGAGCGTGAGAGTATCTTTGAAGAATAATTGTGTTATTTCCTTTTTTTGAACAAAGAAAGTGAAGTGCAAGAGTACAAAGTAAAGGGAGGGTATTATTATCCATCCCAAAGTTATAATTCTCTTTCCTCCTAAAGGGAGGGTATTATTATCCATCCCAAGGTTATAAATCTCTTTCCTCCTCCTAGCACTGTTCCAAAAAGGAGAGCTATTAATAACTAGTGACCATGACAGGCAGTGACGGACCCAGAAAATTTGGTGAGGGGGGCGAATTTTTAATTTTTGGGTACAAAATTATATGATGGGTTCATTTTTGTAATTTTAATAGGGTTTTTTTTCATAAATTTTTAAAAAATTTAAGTATAAAATGAAAAAAAAAAAATCAGTGGGGCAAATTATAATTATAGTGGGGCATCTTCATAAATTATCAAAATTTGAAGTATAAAATGCTAAAAAAAAAAAGAATCCAGTAGGGGCGAATTGTAATTTAAGGGGGGCATTTTCATAAATTTTAAAAACATTAAGATATAAAATGAAAATATTAAAAATTCAGGGGGGGCAGATGCCCCCCTTAGTCCCCTGTTGGGTCCGTCCCTGATGACAAGATGACGTGGCTAAATGAATACACCAACTAATTGTATGAAGTATTTCCACATGAGAAGACGCATACAGAGCATGATATATGATATATGATATATGATGAACTCGTGTCCAAAGGATCCATGTTATTTCTCTTCTAAGAGAAGACAATATGAAGACTGCAGTGGGGAAAACCCCACGCAAAACCCTTGACTTTTGCACTGTAGAGAATGGGGTTTGGCATCCACACGTTTCACTTGGCACTTCCACAATGACAAGAGATATCAATCAAGCTAAATGCTAGTGATAAAAAAGATTAAAAAAAACCCAAATATCTAGCGAGAATGAAAAGGCTATGCTCAGTTATTAGTATTGTCCTCTTTCTCTTTTCTTTTTTCTCCATAAATCCATTCTATATTACTTTATTTACGTATCTTTATTGCCTTGTTTAAATAGTGTAACCAACAAATGAATTTTTTGTTGAAAACGGGGTATACAAAACAAAAATTTTGGATGAAATTTGAAATAGAATCCGCTAAGAATTTTTTGCGGATTTATAAACCAGTGCGTTACTCTCCGCAAGAAGATGAACGTGGTATATTTACTTTCTCAAATCCGTTTCTGGGTGAATGAGAAATTAGATCCAAAGTGAAGTGTTTGAAAAGCCTAAATGGAAAAAAATGTTAAACCAATTGAAATTTAAATAAGTCAAGCTTGGGCTTGGATTTGGGCTTGGGCTTGGGCTTGGGCTTAATTGTAAAGTCCAGATTATTCTTTTTATTAAATAGAATTTTAGATTGGGCCTATTTTTGGGTTGGGCTTATTTAAATGGGTTTCACAAATGGGTGGGTTTTTTGGGTGGTTGGTTTTTTTTTGAATTAAAAAAAAAAAAAAAACTATTTTTTAGTTTTTCTAAAGGGTTACACCTTTTAAATTAAAAAAATCATTTTTTAGTTTTTTTAAAAGGTTACACCTTTTAAATTAAAAAGATCACTTTTTAGTTTTTTCAAAGGGTTACACCTTTTTCCGAACCATCATAACCCATGGTTGCACCCACCCGAAAAGGCACCTTACTACCTATAAATACCCCCCTTGGATCATTTGCAAATCACACCAAATTCAGAGAATTCTTCTCTTTTTCTGAATTTTCTTCTTCTTCCTTCTCTCTTTAGTTTGTGGGTTCGAGCCTTATTCAGTCACTCCGAATCCGAGTCCAAGTTCGAGTCAGAGAGCACTACACCGAGCCGGTTCGCCTATTCCTTTGGTTTGCAGTGCTACTACCGAAGGAAGACAAGTCGTTGTATCCTGTGAGATAGACGCCACTAAGTCCGTAAGCACCATAGCGGGGCGAACCTGTCTTAAGGACATAGAATCAAATTCTAGCCTCGACTTTTAATTAGGTTCCTTTATTTATAATTTTTATTTTATTTTATTAAATTATACATTATAAGTAATTATATATATATATTATTATTTTATAATATTCATATATATAAGCATTATATTATTTTATATTTACAAACAATATTTAAATAAATAATACTATAGCATATGATATACTTAGACCATATTTTGGACAATAATTTTAAAATTGTGGAATCACATAGCCTTTTTAAACAGTTAATTTGTTGAAATATCATAATGATATTCTACATATCAGTCTACTATATATTAGTGTCTTGCCCATTAACCACCAGCAATGAAGGGTTCTCGTGGCTTGGGATCACCACCATGAAAATTATCTAAATTCTAAACACTGATCAAAATTAACTAGGATAAGAGGATGCAATGCAAATGCTACGGTAAAACGGAAACTATATATCCAATAACTAACAGGAAGCTGCATAAATTCATTGTACATATAAAACTACAATTGAATGCCATGGTAGGTAAATTTATATTAACAGATGCAAATTCTAGAGAGAGAGACTATGTTGCCACGCCAGTAATCAATTAATATAACTTGAAAAATGATTCAGATAACATTATGCAATTTGTTTCCTCTAGACATGAGATAATTTGAAAAATGCCATGGTAGGTAAATTTATATTAACAGATGCAAATTCTAGAGAGAGAGACTATGTTGCCACGTCAGTAATCAATTAATATAACTTGAAAAATGATTCAGATAACATTATACAATTTGTTTCCTCTAGACATGAGATATTGCAAAGTTACAAAGAAAGAAAAAAAAAATTTCTATATATTTTGTTCTAAACTTTTGAGTGCCAGGGGCTTGTTAACGCCATTCCGACACTTTCCAAGCTGACAGGAACAACTCATCAACACTTTGGTCGAAGTTCGACTTGATATCACCTACCATAATCTGCCTTTTCTTTTGTCGCTGTATCTTCAAATTCTTATTTGCTAAATCCGAAAGAATAAATGAACTGTCACAAATACATTTTCCTTACAAACCTTTCACCAAGAAGAGTTAAACCCTCTCCAAATTGAGAATCATCCATTTGTTGAAGTGCCTCAACCTGTGAAAATAAGAGGAAATAAATAGATATATTTAAATGTATGACATATTGCCCTAGGTCGTTTTCTAACTTTGGTTATACAAACCAAAAGATTAGTACATTTCTGAAAAAATTACAATTATTAACTGCAGTCAAGTAAGCTAATGGCAGATACAAGGTGAAAGATGAGAATTTTTTGTAACAAAGAATGGAATGAAAGAAGATTTTGAATAAGTTAAGGTGTCCTTATAAGAGTATGAATACTAAAGACATGTACCTTACCGGTTTGAATAGCTACTTTACTAACTGTTGACTGGGATGACAAAAATAGAAGTGTCAAGTCATGAATTGCATGGACAGATGTAAAGGAAAATTAGTGGAGCGGACATCAACAAAATACTAAATTTTGTAACAATTCATAGAAAATGAAAGAATTTTTTTTTTTTTGTTATGGCACTGGAAATGGGGGCAATAACATCAAAACGTGGACAGAATTTATATTTAGAATTCTATAATGTTTAACTGAAATTATATCATAACTTGCAGCTAAAATGTGTTAATATCATCATTATTCTGAATAATCAATGATGCAGAGATTTACTGAATAGTTATAACTATCCTATTATTATTTTGTTCATAACATATCCTTCATGACATTGATGACACTGTAACCCAAATCATCAGAACAGAACATTCTTTTCTTTTTACCTGCATTTGATGACAATGGCCAACAATTTGAAACAAGGGGCCAATTCATACACTTAAATTCCACCAGTGGCGTCTGGTTTTCCAAAATAAGTAAGGGGCCATCACATGGTACAATGGGCACTTTTATCTAGTCAGGTCCTCACTACTATTAATGCCCTTCATGCAAATTTCTATTTCCAAAATTGTGAATTTTTTGTATTATGATGCTCTATCAACACTTTCCCAAGGCAATGGAATGAAACCTCGCCCACCAAATATTATGCTAATGTCTTCACCAATATGCTGTACACAGGCTACCCAAAGACATCAAACAACTAAAATAGATGAGCAAAACTAGCATTCATTGTTATACCAGCCATACATTTGCCCAAACTTCACCATCTACATATTCTAGTGCATTAAGGTTATGCACTTCATGACCTTTGTACCTGATAGAGACTCTGGAATTCGTATAGAAACAGAGCGAGGGGCTAAAAACTTGTAATCACCGACTTGACACATAGTGAAAACTTTTGCCGGATCCCAACCGTGGACGTAGGTTGTTGCCGAACCACATATAAATCGTTGTGTTCTTTGTGTGGCGTGTTTACTTTTCTATCGTGATTCTTGATTCAACTTGGGTTCGCTGCGTTTGTCATTACATTTTCTAATCTCCTTCAGTCTTAATAAATAATTAATTATAGATTGTGTTTCGAGTCCTCTGACAGGGTTCTTCACAATTAAATGAAGAAACTGCCTAACTACTACTTCATGAAGAGTCTACTGGTAGACTCAATTCGATAATTGACTAAAACTTCACAGTTGTAGAGTAAAATGCTCTCTAAACACTTCAATACCCAAACAAAAAACAAAAACCTATTTATTCTCAATTTTCAAAAGACAAAGAATAAAATAAAACACCATTCTCGAAGTTAAGACTTAATTTAACCAAAAATAATAATTATAAAAATGAAAAGGAAAATAGTGTTTCTTGATTGATCCAATCACGAAAGTTTTATATTGAAGTCATTAAACATAAACAAAATTCATATCAAATTCGAGATTTGAAACGAAGATTGGACCTGAGTAAAGGCTTTGGGGTCGTGAGGGAACTCGTTGACTACTTCGATGGAGTAAAGATTGTTGGAATGGGCATTGATTCCAACTATGCTCCGCATGTTTGACGATTTGCTCAATAGAATGACAACATTCATAATCAAAACGATCAAAATGAGCATAAAGATCATTTTATAGTTAAAACGAGACAACGACGACGAAGAGGCCATGGAAGGAAAGGGCTTAGTGTTCAATTGCTTGTTTGGTCTCTTTCGAACCGATCAGCCAGCCATGGACGACTGTGTGAGTTTGAGGAGAGAGATGAAGGGAAGGGTGGGGGTGCATATTCAACCCCCTTCATTGCTGTGAATTATGATGCTACTAAAGTGCGCCGACCTTCTTAGGTGGTCAACTTGGTTGTGTTTGGTAATTGGTACTTTTGCTGCGGGCGGATCTACGAATTGTCTGGGCAAATATTAAACATAAATTTAATAACAGAATTTTTTAACCAAAAAAAAAGTTTTATAACATAATATAGATAAGTATTTGAATTCAAAGATTACAAAATATCTATTTAAGTTGTGTTCGACGAGTCTTTAAAGACTCAAATTCGTTGATAATAGACTCCAAGTCAATTTTCCAAATTCAAGGTTGATGGTCATGCAGTCAGCAAGAAATTCATCTCCCATCGTGCTACGCATCGCTGTTTCTCATGCCTGAAAATGCTCTCTTCGTAGTTGCTGTAGAAACAAGAAGAGTCAACAGAAGACGGATCAATCTGTCAACCAATAGTAATCGAGCTTTCTTCTTACAACTACTTCCCCACATAAATCAATAAGAGAAGAAATATTCTGAAACTCGGGATCACTAGTTACATCAAGTTAATAATGCATCAACTGAAACTTCAATTGTTTAATGTTGAAAGATATAAAAATTGAAAAGAGAAATTAAACATAAAGAACACAAGAAAAGGCACACAAAGCCCAAAGAGCTACATCACCCTTATTATATTCTCTCTTAAGATTGTTTACAATGAGTACCTCTATTTATAGGTGAAAGAACAATGCGATAAATATGTAAAATATATTAATGGAGGATTCATAAAATCAATCCCATAAATGATAAATCACTGTAATCATATTTTATCATATACTAAAATCACTCCCACAATATTCTCAGAGCAATAGTCTGTGGAGTAATATAAGGTTCCTATAATAATATTCTCCAACACCCTCCCTCAAGTTGGTACATGGAGATTTTAACTCAAGTGTCTAACTTGAAACTAAGTACGAAGTTGTTAAGAGTCTGAAACGAGTTGCAAAGATTTGAGACGAGTTGATCCGTAGATCCGAGACGAGTAGTGTATAGAATATGGTATGATAAATTTGCTCTAATACCCTATTGAAAGATATAAAAATTGAAAAGATAAATTAAACATGAAGAACACAAGGAAAGGCACACAAAGCACAAAGGGCTACATCACCCTTATTTTATTCTCTTAAGATTGTTTACAATGAGCACCTTTATTTATAGGTGAAAGAACAAAGCGATAAATATGGAAAATACATTAATGGAGGATTCATAAAATCAATCCCATAAATCACTCCAATCATATTTTATCATATACTAAAATCACTCCCACAATATTCTCAGAGCAATATTCTGTAGAGTAATTTAAGGTTTCTATAATAATATTCTCCAACGTTTAACATCTTGACTAGTGAAGTCCCAAGGATAGAATTTCTCAGCAAGATTGCATATATTTTCCACGTTAAAAGATTTAAAAGAATCACTAGGATCCAAAGCCAAGCTAAGAGTAAGAAGTTCCATTACTTCATTGTTGAATCTATGTTCCAACTCCATCAGCTGTAAATCTATTGCAAAGTTGAAAATGTCAAAGTGATAATGGTGCTTAACTGTAATATGATCTTGTTGCTGACAATGACGACCCATACACTCTGCATAATGAGAACTCAAATCAGGTATATCAATGTTATGTCGATTGTAAAATGACACCATATTTGCAAGAAAAATATCCCAATCATCTTGTCTGAATTTTTTAAGGAGATTTTTGGTTGTTGAGACTAATTTCAAAGCATTTAGAACGTCTTGAGATTTACGTTGCAAGGCCTGACAAAGTGCATCAGTGAATCCCATAATGTTATCCATGAAGTGCAAAATAAATAGGAATTCAAAGTTTCTCATTGCTTTGTAAACACCTAAAGCTTCCCCACATATCTGTTGACTTTGCCCACCCTTTCTAATATTTTCAACAACTTTGCAGGATGCAATATACGTATCAATCAAGTCTCTCACAGAATCATAATGTGAGCTCCAATGAGTAGCTCCTGCTCAATGCAAGGTGCCAATTTGATTAGCCCCTTTACCAGATTGACATTGACCTGTGCTCAACATACGTGTAATCTCATCCCTTTGAAAAGATTTTAATTCACCAAGACGCTTGGGAGAGGAAGCAACAAGATTGACAATACAAGTCAGGTGAGAGAAGAATTGTCAAATATTCGGCTCATTTTTTGCTGCAACAACTAATGCTAATTGTGATCGATGAGTAAAACAATGGATATAATAAGTAAACGGGTAATCTTTAGAAATAATGTTTGTAATCCATTCTATTCCCCGCGCATATTACTAGCACCATCGTACCCTTGACTTCTCAAATTTTGAATTGAAAGATCGAATCGAACAAGAATATCAGATATTGCATCCTCAAGTGTTAATACTGATATGTGTTTTCAACTCCCACTATGTCAAAAAAATGTTCCATTAGCAAACCATCATGTTTGACATATCGTAAAACAAGAGCCATTTGCTCCGTTTTAGACTCATCTTATGCTTCATAAACAAGAATACAATATTTGCCTCCCGCAATTTCATCACAAATAAGTTTTCTCACTTTGTTTGCAAGAATATTAAGAATCTCTTTTTAAATCAATGGAGCAATGTATTAGGCATTTTGTGGAGCATTGTCTAAGATAACACTTGAGATTTCATCATTTTCTCCTTTGTACTTTAACACTTCAATAAAATTCCCTCGATTTAATGAACTTGAACTTTCATCATGGCCTCCAAACCCAATTCCTTGCAATGCTAGCAAGCGAATGGTTTCAATACTTGCTTTAAGCCGCATTCGATTTTTCAAAACCTCTTCTTTTGCTTGGGCATTCAACACTTTATCAATATGTTGTGCCGATTTCTTTAAATTTTCTTAAAGCATGGTGTATTTTCTTTGCGGTGAAGATTGAAGTCCCATGTGTTTTAAGAATACACAATTATCTCCATCATTAACTCTCTTCTAATTGTAAAATCCGCCATCAATAAGTAAAGAATGACTCGTCGTTGTATTTCTCTCTTAAAAGAGAAAGCATGGTGTATTTTCTTTGCGGTGAAGATTGAAGTCCCATGTGTTTCAAGAATACACAATTATCTCCATCATTAACTCTCTTCTAATTGTAAAATCCGCCATCAATAAGTAAAGAATGACTCGTCGTTGTATTTCTCTCTTAAAAGAGAAAGCATGGAAAACAATATGCTTTATCTTTTGAAGGAGAATACTCTAGCCAAGGAAAATGTTTGAACTATTCATACTTAAATCGCCGATTCTGCTTTCCATTCCAAGATTTAGGATAATTGGAAAGTTTATGTTGATAAGGCCCTAAATTGATATAAGCTTGTCTAATCTCATCCATTTGATTCACCGGGTATTCATGTATTTGAATACGTTACTCGGGAACTCTTTAAATAGAAGTGGAGTGAAGTTGCTTGGGTTCAACAAGTTGAGGTAGGGCGGGAGGTTGAATCAAAGATCATTGTCAATGTTAAATGCACTAGGTATATCCTTTTTCAATTGATCACCCTCACTCATTTGGCCTCTCTTTTGATAGAATGAGAATAGACTTACTTTTCACTTTCTTGTTTGAAGGTTGATGTTGACCTTCTTTTTTTTTTTTTTTTTTACCTAAATGAAGATGTTGAGCCATTGTTATTTTTAACCAAATTTGAGGAATTTTAATCAGTAAACTAAATTAGTTGAGAAAATGGTACCTATATGTGCTTGAGAATACAAAACCAGACAAATCAGCAACCTCAAGTTCTCAGTCAAAGCATTTCTCCAGCCTCTCCATGATCTCCATCCAGACCATCTTTATTGTCTCTGGATTCTGAAATCAACTAACCCATTTTATAATTTAGCCCCTCCCATCCACCACAAATTACAATAAATCCTGAGATACACATTTAAAAAATGCACAATGAAACATCCCATTTATCTGTTATAAACTAATGTTGCAAATGACATTCTTAACTAATCAAGTATGTGATGAGCAAATTATGAAACTTAATCAGTACATAGCTAGAAGCAAGCAATAACTATCAAGTATGTGATGAGCAAAATATAGTCAACAAGAAGGCCAAGGAACACAATAGGAAATAAATTTTTCGATAAAAAAATGACGTGTTAAAAGCTATATGTCCAAATAAAGAAGAAATTCAAATTTAGATTATTTTCCTCATGCATTCATCTCAAACTCAGCCCCATTCAAACCATCTACCATCTGACAAAAATCTACAATAATTGATAGATATATATATATATATACACACAGAGCAAAATTTAGGATAAACCTATTTAAGAGATTTATAGTGTCTGTGAAACTATATCAGCAGATAGCTAAAAGCAATATCAATGTGCTGAATAAAATGTAGCCCACTCAAGCCCCCCCTAGATCCGCCAATGGGCACAAGTAGCAAAACCCTTTAGCCTTTTCTCTGCGCTCTGCGGGCCGCAGCTCTTCTTCTGGTAATTAGTTTTAGGTTTGCAAATTGTGATTTCTGTATCACACTACTAGACTAGGGCTTGTTTGGCTTTGGGGTGTTACTTGACTTGGGTTGGGCTTGTTTAGGTGGGCTAATAGCAGTAATAAATTTTTTTTTTTTTTTTGGGGGGGGGGCCCTGGGCTAAATTAGGCTAAAGTAGTAAAAAAAATATAAATTTTTTTTTTGGGGTGGGCTTGAGTAGATCGGCCTGTGTTTTACTGGGATTGCCTTTGAATATGTTTGTTTACGGGGTTGAAATATCTACACCAGTATGGGACAAACGGTTGACCAATAGGAGGAAAATAATTAAGATAAAATAATAATAATTTGAAGAAAAACTGATATATTTAACCACTATGTAAGTAATATTTTTAATTATTTTTTTCATCAATTGCATATTAAATGATAAATAATATATAATATAACATATTAGATATAGTATTGTGGACTTTCTCTCGACTGAGGCTGTAAGTCCTTTCCATAAAAAAAATATCTACTTTTTATTTTTTTTTTAATGCCAAAAGGACAATACTTAAGTCATCATCAATGAGGATGTATACCACGGATCAAAAACAAATGAACAAATTCTTTTTAATTACTGGATTGTACTACATAATCTCTTATTTGGTAAGTGAGAGTATGTACTCTACCATCTCTGTTTTGATAATTAAACCATCTCTGTTTTGATAATTAAAAAGGACGTATCCATTTGTTATTGGACGCATCTCCGGTCAAGAGATGTACATCCTCGCCTATAAGACCTAAACATTTAGTCATGCCAAAATAACGTCCCAAAAAAATTCCAATGTAGTACTTTTTTAATATTCCTAATTTCCCTACAGCATAATGTGGTGCTTGATTCAGTAAATTTAGCTTACACTAATCTGCGCAACGATAATTATTTAAAAAGCATAAAGAACAAGAAACAGAATATAAATATTTAACTATGCAAAAACAAAACAAGTCCAATTCAAATATACTTCATTGCCGCCTCCTGCATGGGAATGTAGCTCATACTTCCCTTCTAGAAAAAAATAAAACCATAGTTCCTGTGGTTGGATGGTTGGACAAATTATATACAGTGTACCGAGTGTGGGTTCGAATCCCCTCCGCTGCGCAAGTCTGTGATTTAATGCTACATGTATTGCCTTTGAAGCATACAATCTACTTGCACCATTCCACCCAAAATGAAGAATTATGTATATAAAATGTATCTATGTGTGTCACGTGTGTGTGCGCGTGTGTGTGTGAGAGAGAGAGAGAGATAACCTTTCTTCAAAGCCTAAGAAGCCATGAAAACTATGGTTTCTCTACAACAACCACCTCTTTACATAACCAAGCCTTCTCCATGGAATCTAAGAAGCCCCAACCCTCTATCCAAAAACCATTAAAAATCCGTACTTCCACTCAAAAACATGGAAGTTGCTTACTGAAGCCAAAGGCTTCGCCAGAGCACTGGTACCGACGAAAAAAGCTAAAGCATTCCAAACAACAGGATAGTCACGGGAAACCGGAAGTAGTGATAAAGAGGATGGTTGTTAGGATCTCATTTTTGTATGGGGTTCCGTTGGTGAATGGTGTAGTAATCTAGCAAGTACTGTTGGATATAAGCTGACGATAGACACACCTACATAGCTGACTGTTATCAGCTTGATAGTAGTGGGATTACATGGGATGTACGCTTTAAGAGTTCTTTTTAGGATTGGGAGATGGATGAGGTATGTGCCTTACTGGATATATTGTATCAGCTGGAGGAAGTTGGCAGAGGTAGTGATGTCTTTCCAACTTCGTTGGTCCTGTTTTCCTATGGAAGACTATATGGCGCTCCAAGGCTCCACTTAGAGCAGCAATCTTTGTTTGGATTGCCGTCTTGGGTTAGATCTTGACGCTGGACAATTTGATGAAGAGAGGTAATACTATCGTTAATTGGTGTTGTCTATGCAAACAAGATGGTGAGTCTGTGGATCACATTCGTATGCACTGTCATGTGGCGTACGATTGTTAGAACCTCATCTTCGGCTTATTTGGCATGCATTAGGTAATGCCTCAGTCTTCCAAAGACTGATTAACGCGTGGAGAGGATGCCTAGTGAGAAGTCACGCTCACGATTATTGAAAGATAGTTCCACACTGTGTTTGGTGGTGCATATGGAAAGAAAGGAATTGCAGAATTTTCGAAGAAAATGAATCGCCTTTGGCGACCTTGAAACTTCATATTCTTCGCTCTATTTTTTGTTATGTGAAAGGAAGCACTTGCTCCTCTACAGATGACTTAGTTGATCTTTTGGACTCTATATGTCCTTAGGTTTAGCTTCCGTTTTGTATTAAGGATGCGTTCTCCTTTTGAACGCTTTTCTAATCGATTATTACTTATAAAAAAATAAATAAATAAATAAATAGGAATTCAAAGCTTCTCATTGCCTCGTAAACACCTAAAGCTTGCCTATGTATCTGTTGACTTTGTCCACCCTTTCTAAGATTTTCAACAACTTTGCAGGACGCAGTATACATATCAATCAAGTCTCTCACAGAATCTTAATGTGAGCTCCAACGAGTAGCTCCTGCTAGATGCAAGTTGCCAATTTGATTAGCCCCTTTACCAGATTGACATTCACCTATGCTCAACATACGTGTAATCTCATCCCTTTGAAAAGATTTTAATTCACCAAGACGCTTGGGAGAGGAAGCAACAAGATTGACAATACAAGTCAGGTGAGAGAAGAATTGTCAAATATTCGGCTCATCTTTTGCTGTAGCAACTAATGCTAGTTGTAATCGATAAGCAAAACAATGGATATAATAAGCAAATGGGCAATCTTTAAGAAATAATGCTTGTAATCCATTTCATTCCCCGCGCATATTACTAGCACCATCGTACCCTTAACCTCTCAAATTTTGAATTAAAAGATCAAACCAAACAAGAATATCAGAGATTGCATCCTTAAGTGTTACTGCTGATGTGTTTTCAACTCCCACTATGTCAAAACAATGTTCCATTAGCAAACCATCATGTTTGACATACAAAAAACAAAAGCCATTTGCTCCGTGTTTTAGACTCATCTTGTGCTTCATCAACAAGAATACAATTTTTTGCCTCCCGCAATTTCATCACAAATAAGTTTTCTTATTCTATTTGCAAGAATATGAAGAATCTCTTTCTGAATTGATGGAGTAATATATTGGGCATTTTGCGGAGCATTGTCTAAGATAACACTTGAGATTTCATCATTTCCTTCTCCTTTGTACTTTAACACTTCAATCAAATTCCTTCGATTTAATGAACTTGAACTTTCATCATGGCCTCTAAACCCAATTCCTTGGGATACTAGCAAGCAAACGGTTTCAATACTTGTTTCAAGCTGCATTCGATTCTTCAAAACCTCTTCTCTTGCTTGAGCATTCAACAATTTATCAATATGTTGTGCCGATTTCTTTAAATTTTCATAAAGCATGGCGCATTTTCTATGTGGTGAAGATGAAGTCCCATGTGTTTCAAGAATACACAATTATCTCCATCATTAACTCTTTTCCAATTGTAAAATCCACCATCAATAAGTAAAGAACGACCCATCGTTGTATTCTCTCTTCAAAGAGAAAGCATGGAAAACAATATGCTTTATCTTTTGAAGGAGAATAATCTAGCCAAGGAAAATGTTTGAACCATTCATAGTTCAGGTTGATAAGGCCCTAAATTGATATAAGCTTGTCTAATCTCATCCCTTTGATTCACTGGGTATTCATGTATTTGAATACATAACCCGAGATCTTTTTCAATAGAAGTGGAATGAAGTTGCTTGGGTTCAACAACTTGAGGTAGGGCGGGAGGTTGTGAATCAAGATCATTGTCAATGTTAGATGCACTAGGTATATCCTTTTTGGATTGATCATCCTCACTCATTTGGCCTCTCTTTTGATAGAATGAGAGAATAGACATGCTTTTCACTTTTTTGTTTGAAGGTTGATGTTGAGCCATTGTTATTTTTAACCTTATAAAATTAAAAAATGAGTTAAATTAAAAATACATAAATCAAACTAAATTGCTATTATTCCTACTAGCAGCTTACACTAGATATAAGCATTTATCAATAAAAATAAAATGAGAAAATCAAATATTCAAATACTCCAAATTTGAGGAATTTTAATCAATACACTAAATTAGTTGAGGAAATGGTACCTGTATGTGCTTGAGAATACAAAACCGGACAAATCAGCAACCTCAAGTTCTCTGTCAAAGCATCTCTCCAGCCTCTCCATCCGGACCATCTTTATTGTCTCTGGATTCTGAAATCAACCAACCTATTTTATAATTTAGCCCCTCCCATGCACCACAAATTACAACAAATCCGGAGATACACATTTAAAAAATGCACAATGAAACATCCCATTTATCTGTTATAAACTAATGTTGCAAATGACATTATTAACTAATCAAGTATGTGAAGCAAGCAATAATTATCAAGTATGTGATGAGCAAAATATAGTCAACAAGAGGGCCAGGGAACACAATAAGAAATAAATTTTCCAGTAAAAAAATGACATGTTAAAAGCTATATGTCCAAATAAAAAAGAAATTCAAATTTAGATTATTTTCCTCATCCATTCATCTCAAACTTAGCCCCCTTCAAACCTTCTACCATCTAACAAAAATCTATAATTATTGATATATATATATATATATATATATATATACACGGAGCAAAATTTAGGACAAACCTATTTAAGAGATTTATGATGTCTCTGAAACTATGTCAGCACATAGCTAGAAGCAATATCAATGTGCTGAACAAAGTGTAGCCCACTCAAGCCCCCCCAGATCCGCCAATGGGCACAAACTGCAAAACCCTTTTGCCTTTTCTCTGCACTCTACGGGCCACGGCTCTGCCTCTGGTAATTAGTTTTAGGTTTGCAAATTGTGATTTCTGTATCACACTACCAGACTAGGGCTTGTTTGGCTTTGGGGTGTTGGCTGACTTGGGTTGGGCTTGTTTAGTTGGGCTAATAGTAGTAATAATTTTTTTTTTTACCCGCTAGTGCATATCACTTGTTATGGATCAAATTGGGAGAGAACAATACTTCAGTAGCGTAGAATACAACTAAGTTCCTACCAGTCATCTTCTCAAGAGCAAAATTCAAAGTTCAAGAATCTCTAACTGATACTTTATTATATAAGATAATTTGATTATCAAGCATTGTTCAAGTGTTTCCATCCACTGATTTTAAGAAATTTATTCATGATGCTGACAGACAAAAAAAATAATAATAAGACAAAGCACTTCTATGTTAACAATATAAATAAATAATTTGATCTCTAGTCATATTTTATTATAACCATAAATAAATTACGAGAGCCAACTACAAATGATATTTATTATAAGTCTCACAGACACGTTCTTACATTTTAATATAGCTTTAAAATAGACTGGAGTAAAAAACAGATTTGTTTCAGCACAAAACAATGAAAAAAAAAAAAAAGGAACTATAGATTGGACCAAAAGGACACTCAAGAAATTACTTTCGTGGTCACTTTCCTAACACAGTTGCAACAATTCAAATTGAAGGTGGCATATGTTGAAGATACCAATGTCGCGGCGCCCCAATGGGGGATAGGATAGAATGTCAATATTATCATTGGTGTAGTATATGGAATTCAGTTGGCATCTGGGTCATTTGGGAGTTAGAAACACAAATTGAATGGTTATCTCCCAAAAACAGAGTGCCTCTATCCAAAGTTCTCCCTTTAAGCTGCATGAGCAAACCCTGCTCAAATTGCTCTAAGAACAACTTGAAAGCCTCAAACTGCATGTTGTGAATCGTCTCCAAATTCGTAAAACCTTTGTACAAAAAGTAAATCCCTGCTAGATGATTCAACAAGATATGCCAGTTCATAATACACATTAGTCCGGAGTTCAATTACCTCCACTTGCGGAGCCTTACTCTCCCAAGCCCTTTTATTAACATCAATCATTATGACTCTACTTCTATTATCAACTGCTATCAACTGCAAAAATCTGGCTTTTATAATAGATGACATCATAGAGGGGCTTAAATCTCTGTTATCTATGTAAGTCCAAGCTTTATCTCCTGCCCGAATAAATGCGAGGTTATAACAACCACCATAGATGGAGGTAACAATATAGTCATTAGGCGATGAAACAGGGTCGGCTGACAATATAGCCTTTGTAACTTCAAACTCAACCTCAAGAGGCCAAACATCATTGTTATCCGGATGAGGTCCCAATTCTGAGAGGTCTAAAATTGGAGGAAGCTCAATGGTAGCAATGACCTATATATATATATATATATATATCTAGTGCATCACTGTTTCTCACTCCTTTCGCAGATATAAATTTATTTAATCATCCGAATACATATAGGATAGAATGATCGTAAATTCAGCCTATATATATACTTATATATGAATATGAATATGAATAATAAAAAGAACTCACGTGAAGTTGATGCAAACAAAAAGCAATGACCTATATATATATATATATAGTGCTTCACTGTTTCTCACGAATCTCACTACTTTCGCAACGAGGAAAGTTAGTAAAACTGCAGGATACGAGTATCTAAACTGTTCATAAATTAGGCAAGCACGTTTTGCAAGCACATTAGTTTAGAAGTCAATTATTAATTTAAAATTTTAAAATGTCAATACAACCCTTTCTTATCTATTATTCCCCAAAATACAATTTTAATCTTTATATATTGGACTTCATACTTTCATATAATTTAATATTAAGTATGCATAATTTATCAAATGATATAAAAAATTACTTAACATAAATTATTTTATGTAAAACATAATTTGAAATTAAACCTGTATAAAAATTCATATATCTAGAATTTATTAACATATTACTCCATAGTATAAATTTAAATTAACAAATTTTAAATATTACTAGAAATAATAAAAATATTTTTATTTGTAATAATAAAATATAATATGATTTGCCCTCCAAAACCAAAAGGCACTGAGCACAAACAAATATGAGACATTTATCTAATATGTTTAACTAAATAGTTTAATTTAATTATAATAAATAAGTTAGTAAATCAAATACAAAGATGCTATACATTTCTTTTTTGATAAGTAATAATTGATTAAAAGGCGTCCAAAAGGGGAAAGCCTCCCTTGTACAAAAACGGAATCGGGGATCTAAGGACCCAAAGAGTCCAAAAGATTAACTAAATCACCGAAAGAGGAACAAGAACTCTTCTTCACGTAACTAAATATAGAGCAAATAATATGAAGTTTCAACGTCGCCACGGACGACTCCTTCCCTTCGAACATTCTGTTATTCTCTCTTTCCAAATGCACCACCAAATGCAATGTGGAACTATCCTCCAATAGTCGCATACGCTACTTTTCACGTGGCATCCCCTCCACGTGTTAATCAGACCCTTAAAAAATCGGGGCATTACCTAAAGCACACCAAATAAGCCAAATATAAGGTTCCAACAGTCATACGCCACGGGACAATGCAAGAGAATATGATCCACAGACTCACCATCACGTTTGCAAAGGTAGCACCAATTAACAATATTGTTGCCTCTCTTCCTCAAATTGTCAATCGTCAAAATCCTGCCTCATACAGCAGTCAATACAAAGAATGCCACTCTAGGTGGAGCCTTAGAGCGCCATATGGTCTTCCATGGAAAATCAAGGCCAACGAAGTTGGAAAGGCATAGAAACATGGTCCATACATCAAATCTACCATGGGTAGAGGGGACCCACAAAAGATCATCACTACCTTTGCCAACTGCCGACTGCTTATACAACCTCCAGAAAAGATCACCTAAAACGCACGTCCCACGTAATCCCACTGCTATCAAGCCGATAACAATCAGCTACGCAGGTATGTCTATCGACGGCAATACTATACAAACTGGTAAAGGTGCAAGATAACGGCTGGTTACCACACCATAAATCCTCCCAAAATCAAACATATCTACCATCACAAACTTTGAATCTGATATGGTAAGAGAAGACATTCCAGCCCATCTAAATGAATTTCCACACACAACCCGCAATAGAGACTAAGAGAGTTAGACCATCCGCCACTCTCCTCCCCAAAACGACATGAAACAATCTTTCTCCAAGGGCAATGCCTTTCCCTTCCAAATCTCCATAACCATTTGCCCAAAAGAGCTTGATTAAAGGGGACCAACCTCCGGATACCTAAACCACCCGACTGTATGGGCTTGCAAACTTGCTCCCACATGATGAGATGATACTTAAACTCCTCGCCAAGAGGAAATCCCTTTGGATCTTTTCAATCTTTTCGGCAACAGAGCATGGAATTTGGAACACAGATAAGAAATAAGTAGGAAGGCTCGAGAGAGTGCCCTTTATGAGAGTAATTTTCCCTCCCTTTGACAGATATTGCTTCTTCCACCCTGCCAATCTCTTCACGTATCTGTTAATCACAGGATCCCATCTTCCCACCCTTTAGAGGAGACCCCCAAAGGCAAACCCAAATAAGGGATAGGGAAAGAACTCACCCTGCACCCAAGAACTGCGGCTTAGGAGAAAATATCTTGAACATCCCCAACCGGGACAAGCACGCTCTTGGCTACGTTGACCTTCAGCCCAGAAACCACCTGAAAACATACCAGAATGCACTTTAAATATCTAAGTTGAGACACGTCAGCATCACAAAAGACCAAGGTATCATCCGCAAACAAGAAATGAGAGATCTCCATCTGATGAACTAGATCTCTGCCCACCGCAAAGCCCTTTATAAGACTGAGATACTCTGCCCTCCTCATAAGTCTGCTCAAGCCCTCCATGACAATGAGAAAAAGAAAAGACAATAAGGGATCTCCTTGTCTCAATCTCCGAGAACACCCGAAGAAACAAGTACATTCACGAGAACAGAAAACTTTACGGACGAAAGACATGTCTCTATCCATTTTCGCCATCTACTTCCAAACCCCATTCTCTAGTGTAAGTACAGCTAGAAATTCCGATTAACATGATCATAAGCTTTTTCAATGTCAAGTTTGCAAAAAACTCCACAGACACCACTTCTCAACCTGGAATCCACACATTCGCATGCAATAAGAACTTAATCTAGGATCTGCCGTCTTCCAACAAAAGCATCATGGGAATCCGAAATAATCCCATCCATAACATCCCTCATCCTAAGAGTAAGAACCTTGGCAATAAGCTTGTAAATGCAACCCACTAAGCTAACTGGTCTAAAGTCTTTAATATCAAAAGCGCCACCCTTATTAGGGATGAGGGCAATGAAAGAGGCATTAAACGATTTCTCGAAAACGCCATGAGAATGAAATTCCTGAAAGGTGCCCATCACCTCGTTTTTCACCACCTCCCAACTTTCCATCAGAAACCGCATAGTAAACCGATCTGGCCCCGGAGCTTTGTCACCATTGCAACTCGATAAAGCTTTTAGCACTTCCTATTCGGAAAAAGGGACCTCAAGACCATCTCTATCTAACTCAGAAATAATAAAAAATAAAAAAATTATTTTTATTTAGAAACATCTATATAAACATTAAATATGTTGTCATTATAATCTAGACTCTTTAAATCATGCGTAGGGCCTTATTTTTAAAGATCTAATTACAATGAACATTTAATATTTGTATTTTCATAAGACAACCATTCTTGTAATATTAAGACTCTTCAAATCATGCGTGGGACCTTATTTTGAAGATCTAATTACAATGGTATTAATAACGAAGGCCATGGGGCAATGTATAAAAATCCCCGCTCCCACTCAATTTTTAATCATTCATAATTAGGGTTTTCATTTTATTCATTTACATGATATAATGCATGCAAAACGTCTTGATTTTAATCCAATTAAATTTAGAAAATATTTGGACTTTAAACGATTCACTAATATTTAATTTGAAGCACACTTTTAAAAAAAATAATTTACAAAAAATAATTTTGCGTTTCCCAATAAGTGTCCTCAAATTAACTAGTAATCAAATCCAATTAATTTTCATAACTTAATTAATATAAATCAAGCCATTTAAATAAATATCATGGATCCAATGCATGAATAATAATTAATTAACAATTATATATTCCATGCATTTTATACATTGCATAAATAAATAAATAACAGATAAAACAAATAAAACGGCCAATGGAATCAGCTTTTAACATTTAACTACTCTAA